GAAATACTAATTTAGAATAAGTATAAGAGTCTTTCAAATCATTCTGTTTATAAAAATCAAATCTTATTTATCACTACTCGTACATAATTCCTTACTAACTCAACTTGACTCACAACAATATGTATATTATAGGTATATATAGTATAAAGTATATACACTATTCGCACATAATTCCTTACTAATTCAACTTGACTCACAACAATATGTACATTATAGTATATTTAGTATAAAGTATGTATGATTTTTATGGTCTTTGACGATAATATTATTTGTTACTTAACAATTTATCAGTAAACTGTCATTGTCTTTGTTGCTTAACTATTGGTATACATCCAACAACTACCATAAATAGAGTTCCTTGCATGATGTAATCAATTAATGCAGATAAGTTCTGGTAGCATTGATGGGAAATTGGGAATTTACTTGAAAGGAGTTAATTATGACATATTAGCAATTCACATTAAAAAAAATTAATAATAAAAAATGATATAATATGAACGAAACATTTAACCAGATTTGATTATTCCTCATTAACCAGATTTTTCCATTTAATTTTCTATTGATTGGAACTTGGAAGAAAATACATTTGACCTTCCTTAAAACTCATCAGCATTGTTGCTAACCATGAATCATAAGATGAGGTTCACCTGTTGCAGATTCGAGTTACCAATGAAGCAAAAAGATAGAAGCTCATAAGAAAAAGTATATATATAAAAAAAAAGAGACCAATCACTTGCAAACCAAAATATTTGATATAATGTATTGAGAATACTAGTGAAAGATTACAAAAATAACCAACAATATCTTAAATTTAAGAATTCTTGAAAATATGTCAAAATCACTTGAAGATGGGAAGAGTTTACAAAGCAAAAAATACATCATAGTCATCTTAATGCCTAAATAAATAGTCACCAAAAAGAATGGAATGGTACAAAAGGCAACACATGAATACAGTATTTGCTATTGCAATCCTGTGATACGTTTTCTAAAGCCCATAAAATTCCAGCATTTCTTCTTCAACAGGGTGTGTTTTGCCAACTATGACTAAGCAATGCAATGGCGCCCCAAAGTCGACTGTTAGAAGTTGCTTCATTGAACCAGCAACCACCTTTTGGTCTTCACTCCCCAGCCGTGCAAAACCAACACAGATTGTATTTTCACCGTATACTGTAATTTTAAAAACGGGAATGCAAAATGAAACGTTTAGTCACTATAAATGTCAAACAACATTCTTTATAACTATTAATGCCACAAAGCCGGGGCTAAAACAAAACCAGATGTCAATTATACGCAAGAAGTATGTCATGATTGTAAATAAGGCGTAAGTTAGAGGCATATCGAAACCATATCCATTATCATACTAGTTCGCTTCAGATTGAGCTCATAAAAGCAGGAAAATGACTTGCAACCTCTCTTAGTCATGTCTCGTGTCAAGGGAAATTATAATATGGATATTGTACTGGCATGTTTGGCAAACATTTACACAAGCAGTACGGATTCCTTTTTCGCTAAAGAAGAGAGAATGCTTGAACTGTAAATGAGATTTATGTCAAATTAAGCACAAAGTCACAAGGACAGGTTTTCAAAATCTGTATTAACTAAATCACATCTTGATCACACAGTGAATTATTGAAAACCTATGTTGCTCAGACTCTTTAAAAATATCGACAGGTGCATGTTAGATACTCTAAGAGTAGTGCTTTGTGGAGGATCCCAACAATTTTGGAGAGTCCGAGCAACATAGCTGAAAATGAAAACTTGGATAAACTAAGGTAAGTAGACTATTAATAGTCACCCGCCCCACCCCCACCATTTTGTCAAGCAGAAGCATGAATTCGTGAACATACCAAATTCTCCACGGGCTTCTTCAACCTCTAAGAGCTGCTCAATTGCTGTGTTAACTGTCATAAATCTGGGAGGTTCATACTGCTTCTTTCCTCTGAGAATAAAATCAGGGTCACATACTATTTCAAGTGATTCGTCTAAGAATAAATGGAAACAACATTGATGTCTAACCTGCAAAGAGACTCGATGGTTGGTTCTTTCACTCGTATATCTGCAAATCAGAAGATGAAGATGCAATTGAATGAAGAAGACTGCACAAAAAGTAAGGCAATAAAAGATCGATCAAGTACTTCTGTAACCTCACAAGTCACCAGTAATACATAAACTTAACTAGAAACATCTAATTTCATGTCGTATATCCTTGTTAGCACTACAATGGTGTTTAAGGTTGAGAATGAATCCTCTGAAAACTAGTCCAGAAGTATGCTCGGTGAAAATATTCCACTTAAAAGCAAAAGATGATAGACCGTCAACTGAAGTGTTTTGATTGGTAAAAGAGGCAAAACTGGCAACTGAAAATTTTTAGTCATATATATATGAAATATATATGGTAACACATAACTCATGATGTAGCCAAATAACAATCACTAAGGGGATGGTATATCGGTTGAGGACGTAACAAGAATGAGAGTCGTTAAGCTTTATCATCCTTGCGCTAAGCTATTTTCCACAGAAACTATCCTACAGTATTATCACTGCAGTAACGTAGGAGTAACAGAATGTTATGCCAACTACAAATATGCTAACCTTGACAGGCAAGATTATCCTGATAACACTTGCTACTGAACAGAATAGGCTTCTCAGTTGTTTAGTCACAGGTGACAGAAGTTGCCCCGGATACCACAAATATAAGAACAAACAAAGTAGTTAAATAGCCACTTACCTAACAAGCAGAGTGTGTGTAGTCCAAGCTTTCGGTTTTCTCTAATCTTCTCATAGAAACTATCCGGCCTCCAGGTCTCAGTGAAGAACGGTATGGACACTGTCTCTCCATAATGGTAGAGCTGTAAGCCACACACTCCAACAGCATTCATCACAGATGCATTGTGTATCACCTTAACATCCACACCCAACTTCTTCGCACGGACGACAATATCAGTGTGGGTTGTGGCTCTGTAGTGAATATTGACATATGATGGAGAGGAAAGGAAGTAGATAAGTGAAAGAACATCTATGTGTCAACATGAAAAGAACCATCTTTGTATTTTACTTGTTTATTAAATCCATAAACAAAACAAGACAGTTGAAGATATTCTCCTCCTAAGGAAGATTACCCAATTAAGCTTTTGCTAACATAAATCAACAAAGTTCATCATTTTCGAGAACTTCCACAAGTCATCCCGTTATAAGCGATAACATTTACGTGATTTCTCTTATAAGCGATTTCAACTGTCAATTAAAGTTCCAAATAGAAGGCATAACCAATATTGAAAGAGAAATGCATTAACATAGTTTTTAAACAATACAAAGGTCCTTATTCCAAAAACTCCTCCTACCTTAGAAGGATAAATTACTGATAATTTACTGGGTGCTTTGCAACAAAGTTCAATGATATGCTGGCACATTATCGAAACTTAAAGAAGCAACCAATTATTGTTCCCAATTTTAGAGAATCTAGGTGAATGTTCAATTCAGAATAGGTGCAATCATGCATACTATCTACTTCTTTGCCAAATTAACCACTACCAAGTGAAACAAGATTGAACAAAGCTACATGAACTGACCTAAGACTGGGGAGAGTAGGTGTACGCATACCTTATCCCTACCTTACGGAAGTAGAGAGACTGTATCCCAAAGAACCCCCCGGCTCAAGTAACACAAATCAAAGAACATACAAAAGGAAAGAAATAAAAGATGTATTGGAGGAAGCATCACAAAGCATATAGGGAATGGACAAAGTAACAGCAACAAAGTCATGTGATAACCAAACACAAGACACAAAGGGGTAGCAACGTAAACCGCAAGACAAGAAACTACGCAAAAATTGCTAATTCTGCTGATAACAAAGGGGAAACAGATACAGGCGCCATACTACCCCAAACCTAACCCGCGAGACAATCCTCGCCTAACTACTAACCTTCTACCATAACCAAGATAAAAAATTGACACCAACTAAAAGTCAAATATCCAAAAGGGTCTTCATTATCCAAATAAATAAGCATATCAAAAAAATGAAGAATACCCAAAAGGATCACCAACAACTAGAAAAGCCACGTCAGAAGCTTTAGCTTCATTAAGGATCTCATCAGCTTTCTCCTCTACCATTTCCCTATCTGCAAGTGTTATTGATCTTCCATAAAGATTTTCCTGAAAAAAGATCAAAACTTTATCATCAAAATCACTCTCTTTTTTTTCACTAACTGAAAACAAAATTACAAGAAAAGACGGTAGCTTTTTTCTAACCAGATTGGAAAGACCATTTGGAGAAAGCCCAAAAGAGAGAAGTGAAGTGTAAGCTTCCATGTATACTTTGCTGCATTTTTTTACTGCTTCAAGACCTTTCAAAGTTATATCTTTATCATCACCCAATCCAAGACCTATTATATACAGCATGATTCTCCCTTCACTTCACTTCACTTCTAATCCAAAATATACTTCTAATTAGTGATGCAAATTTACAAGTTCCAGTACGAGATACAGAGGAAACAGTTCTTTTTTCCAGTTGGAACGAGGGAGACGATGAATTTAAACCCTAGTGAAAACTTGTAACTTGAAATATATATACTTATTGAACTATTTGTAGGATGCAGAACAAAAGTCGATATGTCCGAGTGGTTAAGGAGACAGACTTGAAATCTGTTGGGCTTCGCCCGCGCAGGTTCGAACCCTGCTGTCGACGGTTTTATTTTTTTGATCAATATGATATCGTGTCAATCCATCAACTCATATTTACCTTCATAACCTATAGCCTATCTTAGTTGGGTGTTTTTTTTTTAAATAATAATATCGTACCAATTTGTCAACTAACATTTACCTGTTATAGCAAATAACCTATCTTAGTTTCAAGATTTTAAATCCTATCCAATGTAAAATCATACATGTATATATCGTCTGGATGACCCAATGACCATCGATATATATAACTTAAATTAAATTTGAGAGAAGGAAGAGAATTCATCTCCAATTTTATTTTTATAATACGTTAACAAAAAGATTTTTTTAAAATGCAATACACACAGGTGCTCAATTTCATTTACAACATCTAGCAATTGGACAAAGCTGGTATTGAAATCATGTATTGCTCAACTTGTTAAAGATTACATGTAAGAACAGAAGGTGAAAGGAATATGTGAAAACTGAGAAAGGCAGAGAGAGGGGATGAACATAAATGAATTTTACACAATTTTGTGTCAATATATTCAGGTCAAAATGACAGGTCTTCTAGACAATAAACAAGTTGTGGCATCCATGCTGAGTATTCTTCCATATCTAATCATCGTCCTTGAATTCCCTGTCGAGAAGAAGATGACACTCTCAGTATTTGTCTCTCCAAGAATGAGTTCTAACTTCTCCTTATCATACAAAATGCAAACAGAAGTCGCGATTCTATGTTTTCTTTTTGTGTGTGTAGTAGTAAGAGGTGTAAAGAATGATAACTCACCTGCGATCAAGGTACCGAGGTTGAATGCCACTGCCTTGACATGTTGTGCAAGTCAAACCACCAGCACCGTCACAATTGATGCACCGAGAGACTTCTGTCTCACCCCCTCCAAGCTCCACCGTCACACTGCCAGTACCCATGCAAAATCTGCATTTCTCTGCAATATAAGCCCTTCATAAGTATTAGCTCTAAGTCAGTCTCAAAAAATGTTAGGTTTTAAGGATTAACTGGCTCTACAGTCTTTGATCAGACAATCTACTGACTACTTTTTGAATAATCGAACCTCAGTAAGATTGTATGGTTCAATAACTCAATTCTCCTCTTTTACTGGGTGATGTAATGTCTATACATGCAATCTTAATTGATGGCACATGACAACGAAGATTCACTTTGATATTTAAAGTGGAAACTTCAAGATTATTCACCTAGCAAATTTTAGAAAAACAAAAACGTCAAATCATAAATCACCCTTCTCTTCGTCGCTCTCTTCGATGATCAAAAACACCACAGCAGATAGAACCACCTTAGGGCCAGGATTAGAACACTTCCCAATTACAAAGGCGGTATCTATGAGAAGGAGAAATTTAAGTCAAGCCAGGAGTAAATTGCAAGTTGAATAAAATTGTTGGATCGGAGCCATGGATTTTCTAGAAGCTCATTGGTAATTGGTCATTGATGTAAGTAGCTGCAACCAGAAATTCCTTAAAGGCACTAGAGACATGCTAAGGGATAGGCGTCAACCTACAATGACATCTTTGAAGTGGCATACGAATTAAGTGATTAAAAAATAAATCCTAGATCCATACTATGAGCATTTTGGAAGGATTTCTAAGAAATGCACAATTTGCTCTATCCATCATGTCAGATATTTTGATCAACAAGTCATACATGTCAATTTTAAGTGATACAAAACTAGACCATTTCAATAAGTCAACTTAAGATCCATGGAAGCAATTGACATGTGGGTTTAGTGTCTTTGCTCGGACTTACGGAAGTTGATAAATGACGCATACAAGCAAAAACATCACTAATATAAAGAGATGTGGATAGCTCAAACCATAGTCTAGTTTCTCTTGGCTGGCAAGCAAATGACTAGATTCGTAGCAAAGTGCAAGTTATGTCTTAAACTGGAATATAGGAAGGAACCATAAGAGTTATTTTCCTGAGACTTGTAAGAAAGAATCGAGTGATAACAAGGATTGATGAATGTTCTTCATGGGCCAAAAACCATCAGAAAGTACTACAGCATCTAAAACTGAAGCCAAGCACAAATCAGAACATGTACTTCATAGTTTTATCTTGAGGATATTGAAACTTCTGCCCTTATTCTACAATCTATATTCTCCCATATCTCACTGCAAACGGCAAATAAAACTTTACCTGGAAATCAGAAATACAACAACACGGGCTCTACTTTTGTTGTTGTTGAACCAATGTATGCACTCCTTCAACAACAAGAACTACTGGCTTCCAGTAAATATTTTCAAAAGAAACTGTTCTGGGGGTTCAAAGGCAAACAGGAAACTCTCACTTATTGCAATTGTCTCAATATAGTTTAATTAAGCCGAAATACAATTCTGCGGCTCTTTGGCAGCCATTCAGCTCAAATTTCTTAATTGAGTGCCATCCACCAATTATGTATTTTAAGTACACTTGTGGACATAACAATATACCTCTAGGCTCATTTGTACTTATCGGATCGAACATATAAAGAAACAACAGAATGGAAAGTCTAGTTTAAGAAATACTTACGAGCACCAGTGCCAGTGCAGGGGAAGCAGGGCTGAGTGTTCTCTCTTTTTGCCTACAAAATGTACATTCTTTAACTATGAAAACGGAGATATATATCGCAGGAATTGTCAAGCAATAAAATGACCAGGAAAACAGAGTTATATATCAAACATAGTTAATTTTAAAATATCAAATTAATCTTATATACTTTAGCTTAGAAAATTAGTCAAACGACTCTCGAGAAATGAAATGTAACAAAAACTGTAGTTGTACCAAGCAACTGAGCTCTGCAGAACCCGTAAGTAGCATCCCGGATAATCAAGAAAGGTACAAAAAAGAGCATATTTCATAAAATTAAATCTTAAAACTTACAGCATTATCAATTTGGGTCTCATAAAAAACTGGAATTCCAACTCCAATAGCAACACTGAGCACCCCAACTGTAATTGCTATCACCTGCCAAGTACATCACAATTTCCCCAAAAATAAAAAAAAAATAAAAAAAACCCATATGAGATCAACTGAAATTAAACAATAATCATGGAGAAAAACACAAAAAGAGAACTTGAGAAAGAAAAGAACCGTGTTTTGATCAAGATCCACAGCTTTAATACATGGGTACGAATTTCGCCTACGACATGTTTGATGAAATTTCTGAGTGAAAAAAGAAGAAGAAAGAGTAGGAAGCTTAAGAGGTGAGCTGATAAATGGAGACTTAAAGCGGGAAAGTGAAGGTGCTGTTAACATTTCCTCCCTTTTCTTTCAATGTTTAGTTTAGCTATGGATTTTGCTATCATCAGAATCAGAAAAACAAGAAATTCTGAAACTGACACCAACTGTTGTTAGCTATCCATTGTTAAGCCTTTGGATTGTGTGGGGACACATTTCATATTTACCAGTCACTTCATTGTGTTTTTTTTAAATATATATATATATATATATATAAAATCTAAATGGTAACTCAAAAAAAAATATTCGTCTAAAATTATCCCCTCTATCGTTCATTTTGTATGTTTGATGTAATAATTTTGTATAGTTCTTTTTATATATAGGTAAATAAATGTCTAAGCCTATATGCAACTTGATTACTCTATTCATTATCATATACTTAGTAAAGTTCAATATATGTGAATTTTAATCCTTCGTGATTTTAACCTACTTTACTAATGATAGGCGATTACAACACTTGTTTATTTATATAAAAAAATCTTCAACTTTCAGTGCGATTTTAACTCATTGAAACAATATTTGGGATGCAACTCTTGTGACTTATCATTTCTGAAATTATGTATTTGTTGGTACTGACGCTATTTTAATTATTTACGATTAATACGTATATGCTAATTAGGTGGTTTGCACTGGCCACTTTTAACCATAGGCAGATCAGCGTATATCTGCAAACATATCTACATATATTTCAAGAAAAATGAAAACCAAATTATATGTTAGAACTGTAAAATGTATGATACAATATATGAGCTAGAATTTGTAACACATTCCAAATGTGAATACATATAGTTTGCATCCAGTTACCGCCTTTCATACAGTAATGGTGATACATATAATACATGATTTTGTGAGTTGTGACACATACTCAGATTGATAGTTTATCTTTGTGATTTTACAGACGTGTAAAAACATGAAAGGGAATATACATTAATTGATGAAACCACATCTTGTGACTCAACTGACGAGTTCCTTAACCTCGTTGAGCTTCATACCTTTGCCACAAATTCTGATTGTATGGTTTGTCTGGCTCATATTCGTCTTCTCCCTGGAGCTCATGTTGCACTACTTTGGTCCGCTAGTTTTTGAAGGGCCACATCTCTCCACCATAGCATCGTACAGTTGCCTCCCGTTCTATTTATGAAATTTAATCAGACTAAACCTCACATGTAAAGCAAAAGATACTCATTCTAAGTTTAAAAACACTTACAAAAATCACTGGGAAAAAGTGTATTTGTCCCTCGGGTTTTGTCTGTTTCTCTTTAAAATAAACCAAAATCGGAAAGTTTGGCCACCATAGCTCCCAGTTCACAAATGAAGAATATCTGTTCACATCATTTGAATCAGCCATTTGGCAAAACTGACTTAGAGCAAGGATTGCCTTCTACTTACTTCCAGCGGTTCTTTCCACCCACGAAAACATTTTCACCTGACTCCTCGAGTTGCTCCCCAACTTTCACCTCCTGCAACGAAGTTAACATAGCAATTAGAGAGAACAACTAATATGACAATGCAATGGTATATAAATTGCTTACATCAGATTTATACAAATAAGAATGTAACCACATGCTATACGTACCAGAGCCTCATCATCAAAGACAAATCTCACTCTTGTTGTCTGCAAGCGAAAAACGATGTGAATCAATAAGGAATGCCGGCCTGATAGATGCTAAATGAATGAACGAGATCAAGGAAATTAAGATAATAAGCAGAATGAACAGATGATCTGTTACTAGATCCGGTGCAATAGAAGAAGCTCCCCGTTATAACTTGGATGTCATGGGGTTCAACTCTTGACAGATGATTCTGAGGTTATTTTCCTTCTTTTTTGGGTTATTGGTCATCCCATCAGCTTATGTACATCTCAACTTCTCCATCGAGCAGCCTCTTCAACTCAGAAGCACAGGTTGCCAAAAGAAATCCACCAATTTAGAGTTGTGATCTCACAAAAAGTGTAGTTGGGATTCGAACCTAGAATCTCTAAGTTGGCTTGTGAATTACTTTCTTAAGTTTCTTTAGGCAATGTAAGCAAAACTCTCTCCTACTTATCTTTTATAGGTATAATTCATGCAACACACTAAGGTTGGAAAAGTTCAGTATATATCATTGAATTCCTACCTCACAATTTTTGTTTGCTAAAAGCCACAAACCTTAGACATGTAAACATGCATCAAGTAAAGGAAAGCATTAATGTCTATGATTCACAAAGCACGGGTGCCTTGTAGATGACTGGATAATTTTTTAATGTTGCCATGAAGGATGAAACCGCTTAAAACAGAACTAACACAAAATCTCATTCTAATAAGATGACTACAGTGCTCTCCATCTCATTTGTTAAAAAAAAAAAGGTACCTGGAATAACAGGAGTAATCCAAGAAGACCAATAGGAACTGCTGCGGGTAGATTTTCCACATAAAATAAACCACCAGATAACCCTGTTCATACAAAAATGTAAAAAATTAGAACAAAGACACTAGAGAAAAATGAAATGGGGAAGGGACCGAGGGAAATTCTTCAACAAACAACAGCTTGTTTGGATGGTTGTACATATCGTTTCAGAATGTAGTATATTGTAATGTACTCTGTTGAATTGTTTTGATGAATATAATGTATATATTGTATTGTTTCCTATTGTTTCATAAGACCACCATGTACCAACAATTTGAACAATAAAACTTATAATATTATCAAAAGAAATAGAGTATGAGATAGAGTTATGATTTGGTTTAAAGTAATATGATTATTGAATACAAAATAAGGGCAAAATGAGAAAGAAAAAAGAAAGAAAGATGATAAGCCCACGTGATCACACCAAATAAGTTGTTGCATTATATGGAGTTTACATTACGGAGTTAATAATTCGATACAACAAAATTTAGCGTAGCTTAAGTAACATTACGATACAATACCACAGGTAACAACAATCCAAACAATGTGTTTAACTTCAACTATAAATTTGAAAATGTTGATTAATCAAAGATAAAGAGAATTGAAAGATGCACCTAGAAGGACAATAGGAATTCGGTAATCTGGATCAGGAACAACAGTCTCCTTCTTTATCAGTTTCTTCCGCATCTGCCAAACCACGAACATTAGCCCAAATTCCCAGGAAACTACAATTAGATACAGTCAAACATCTCTATAACAATCGTCCAACATTTCCCTATAACAGCCTAGTTTTCTTTGAATCAACTTTCATACTATGTTATATTATATGCTCTTTATAAACTGCATCTCACAATCAGGGGCAGAGCTAGGTGGGTTGCTTCTTCACAAACCCTATATTTGTACTAGAAAATTAAGTATACCTCTAATAACAAAACTGATTGACAGCTCCATGACAAATTTAGAACCCCAAACTTCTAATATTGGTTCTGCCTCACTACAGAGGCTTCTCTATATTAGCAATAAGATCATCTCAAATTCCAAAGGCAAAATTAGATCAAATGAAAAAACAGAAAATAGAGAAATATGAATTAACTGACCACTGAGGTGATAGTGAGATTGATTTTTTTGAAGTTTTTAGTGAAAAGAGTATGACTATTAATCTCTTTGCCATAGAATGAGCTCTGTAATTTCCTCACAGCCACAGGTCCACCTACTACTTCTCTTTCTGCTTCTGATAAATACAAAACAAAAATTAGTTTACAATACAAGAAAATTTTAAGATAAGCTTAACAAAGTTTAATTTTACAGAAATTTTGCTCAACTGTGCAGAGCAGTAGTGAAGCGGGAAGCAGAGAGAAGAGCGCTCTCCATTGCAGTTTCTCTGAAATTGAAAAGAGTGAGAGGCTGTAGATGATTTCCCTTAATTTTGTCATTTCCACGCTCTATCCGTTTCGCTCCATTGCAAGCCACTGATATGTCTAAAGCTCAAGGGTAAAAATGTCAACAAACAAAAATACTCAATGCGGGCTTCGGAAATTGGGTGGAAAATAATTTTTAAAAGAGGAATTTTCGCATATAGTCACTCAAAATTAGTCTAATTATGCTTTATAATTAGAGTTTGCTAATTACGATTTGTAACTACATGCTATAGAGAAAGTTGCGAGCGAGAGAGGACAGAGGACAGAGAGTCGGAGAGTGGTGAATTGTATATGTGTATAATTAGATAATTGTATATTATACATATGTGTTTGTATATTTTAGCGAGAGAGATTGGGAAAGGGAGGGAAGAGTTGCGAGCGAGAGAGGACAGAGGACAGAGAGTCGGAGAGTGATATATTGTATATGTATATCAATTAGATAATTGTATATTATACATATGTGTTTGTATATTCTAGCGAGAGAGATTGGGAAAGGAAGGAGAGAGGCGAGCGAGATTGGAAGAAGGAGAATAATTTGTACAATTTGCAGGTACGTTTATGTAATTCATATATTTTTATAAAATTGAGTAATATAAAGTCTGAAATTATACAAATATAGTAAAACTTGAAATAATGAATTGATACAAACATAAACATATGAACTTTAAACTGTTATACAAATTGCATTATACAAAATTCAAAAATCACACGTTTATACAAACTTTAAAAAGTTATACACAACAAAAATGAAGGTATATGATGAAAAAACTGTAAAACCAAAGGAAATCAACGTCGTATACAAATATAAACAATCGTATACAAATACAAATCAAAGAAAGAAAGTCAATCAACGTAATTTATGTATAATGTTAGTCGCAAGTGATAATTATAACAAACTATGTATGTGACGAGTAATTAACTAATATAAATTTGTTTAACCGCATAATTTTCTCTTTTAAAAATAATTAAAACGGAGTTAGCAACCTACTGGCTTACTGGGTATGCATCGTTTGGTATAAATGATGAATTCTTGTCTAGTGTCCGATACTTATATTAAAGCGCGAGCCTAGAGCCTTTTAAACGTGTCTGCCTTTCTTTGTACTCGTTCAACTTTTTTAAATAGTAACCACTCTCACCCGGGCCTTTGTCGTTGGAGCAAAAGCAATAGGCCCAGCTCCACCATGGGTTTTATGTTTTGATGTGCCATTGCTTTTAGATTTGTAGGCTATATAGCTATCGAGCAGAGTAATTACGTTAATATAACAAAAAAATTAAATGAACATTTTATTTTATTTATACATATGACTGAAAATTCACAATGCACCAAAAGAATAGGAGAATGGGGACAGAATAATTGTTCGTAAAAGCAAAATAAGAATAAAAAAGATGATTTCTTCGTTCTTAACTATAATTCTTATATTTAATTTTTTTAATATAAAAAGATTTTGTTGGTGAACATATTTATCTTAAAGTATGATTTTTTGTTAGTATACATCTAAATTAGATAAAAAAATTTATAAATATCGAATATCTAACGAAAACGATAAAAGTAAAATAAAAATGGATCAAGAGTGTGAGGGTGACAGGCCAACAAAGTGCCTATCATTGCAAAGCATGTGATGGTGTGACCATCCCTTTTATGATCTTCATATTAGTAAGGTCTTTAAATAAAGGTAAGGAAGAAAGCTTTTCGAACAATTTCGTTATGCAAGTGATGATAAATTTTTGAAGAGTGTGAGTAATATGTATTATTTAAAACTTATACATATAATTTTGACTAACTTCTCAAAATTATTCTATGTGAATTTTTAAAGTAGTTCTATTCATGTTCTTTTTTCCTAAAATAATTTTTTTTAGAAAAATAAGACTATTTTGTATACATTTTTTATTACATCTTTAAAGTTTTCAACTAAAATTTCATTCTATATAATTAAAAAAAAAAAAAAAGTACATGAAATCACATGATTGTAGAATGCCATATATAGCCGTTGTGTGAGTGTGACACATATAAAAGTTGTTCAATGAACCCCAAATGTCGAGGGACACCTTTTTCAACCATACATTAATATAATATTATATTTTATCATAAAATTATCTCTATTTATAATGTACTTTAATATATTTAATTTAGGAGATACATTATTATTATAGGTTTTGAAACAAACCTAAATTCATCACGTTAGACAATTAAAATAATTAAACAAGTGATATGGTTGTAGGACACACAAAAATCAATGGCTTTATTGATATAATGTTTATCAAAAATTATTTATTTAATAAAATTTGAGTACACATTATTTTCTTGTATTCGACGTATAAAATTACATTTGAAAGGTAAAAAGAAAGGTTTTGCATGAGGAATTGTGTCAGTAAAGAGTGTAATTGAAGTATTATTTCCTATCAATTTAAGAATATTCTTTATTTATTTTTTCTTTTTTTGTGATACACATACATTTCTCTTTTGAGAGGGTTAAATAATATACTTTGCATTTTGTATACTTATCCATTAGTTCTTATTTTTTTCATTATACTTTGCACATTATCCACTTATCCCAATTCCATTTCTCCAATCCATCTTGGGGCCCATATACTAGCAAAAATAAAAATAAAATTCCTAGTAATTGTGAGCTAAAATTTAACAAAATCCTAAAATATTGTAGTTATGTCCTTTTGTGAAATATTCACAAAAATACTTGAGTTTCAAAATTTAAACTTTAAAGAAAATATTTAATTTTCATTTGGAGTAACTTCTCATTTTTTTCTTGTAAAGATTGAGAAATAATCCTTTGATATTTTGACGAAATATATATAATTTGTGCGAAAAGTAAAAATTTAACTAATTAGTTATGAGCTAAAAAGAAATAAAACTCATAAATATTACCGTCCATCCTTTTTGAAATATTTATAAAAAATAATTTTAGTATTTAATCTTAAAAAATTATTAAGTTACGAATTTAATAGTATCATCATTTAAAATTTTATATTTTTTACTATAAATTTAAAAATATCACGCACTTTAATTTCTGAAGTAAAACTCATATTCAAATACGAATTTCATCTTAAGCATACCTCTCATTTTATAAAAACTAAGAAAATATTGAAGAAATACAAACGATTTTTTTTTTTTAAATAACTTTTTACTAAAAACGTTTGTGTTTAGGAACTAAAATAAAAATGAAAATTCATTTTAAATGCCCATCCGTATAATTTTAAACTCAATAAATGGTTTGAGAAAATCCAAAACGACACAATCTACCACCCCCGTAAATCTCTTTCACACACCTCTTCTCGCCAACATCGCAACGGTTCGCCGGAGAACTGCGGTGGTGCCACCAACTTCTAAAAAACTGTTTACTTGCCCGCTTTGCTCTAACTAACGGCCAATTCGCCGGATTTTCTAGTCAGTTCGCCGGTGTTTGCTTTGGATTGATCAGCAAAAGGTACTGATCGGTTTGTCACAGATGTTTGTGCTCTTGTTCTGTTTGTAATTTACTATTGAACTTAATTTATTTTTGATTTTATCAGTTTTTGGATCTTATATTTTGTCTTTTATGTTTTTAGATACTTCTGAAGATATACTATTTGTTTGACATTGTTTTAGTTTCAACTTTTTAGGGATTTTTTTTAGTCTTGCTATAAACAATGAGTGATAAAGCAGATGGGAAGAAAAAGATGAAATTGTTTTAGTGTTTTGCTGCATTTTAAAGTCATTTGCAATTTTGATATTCATTTTTATACAACAAAATTGTGAGCTGAGTTTCTATGTAAACAACCACTTTTAAGGAAGGAGTAAAGTTTGCATACATCCGATTTTCAACAGACTCCACTTGTGAGATTACACTGTGTGTGTTGTTGTTGTATCAACTCAAATTGTAAGTTAAATGGATAGCTATATGAAGTAATCTATATCCATTTGGTTTCATTTGTACTCGGTTCCGTTTCAATCATCCTTAAATTAGTTCCCCTGATGCATTATCTCCCAAGTTGTGTTGATTGTAGAGCTTGGTTTAATTAGTGTTATCTTTTTTGTGTCAGGAATTCAAGATGATTGGATCTTTTATCACCAGAGTGCTTGTGTAAATTTCGAACTACCCTTATACAAATTATATAGAGTAGTTAATCGTGGATTTTCTATTTCTTGAGTTTCTAAAGCTTTGATCTTTGGTGTTCTTCATGTAGGATGGTTTTTGGTTATGCTTATCCAGCTTATGAATGCTTCAAAACTGTGGAGATGAACAAACCAGATATTCAGCAACTCCGCTTTTGGTGCCAATATTGGTATGTTGCTACATTTTGTTAGACCTCGATGTATCTTATTGTGGATCTCCGTTCTAACTACCTCATTCCTCCAATTTTCAGGATCTTAGTTGCTATGTTGACAGTTTGTGAGAGGTTCGGTGATGCTTTTATTTCATGGTAATCATAACGAACTTGTTTGTTCAGATCGTATTTTTTGATTACTCCAACTTGTTATATTTTGAAATATTCATGTTGATGTTAACTTTCTCTTATTTGTGTGATACTTTTTCTTTTCAAGGGTTCCAATGTACAGTGAAGCTAAGCTGGCATTCGTCATTTACTTGTGGTGCCCCAAAACTAAGGTATGCAAATATTGAAAAACAAATATTCTGTCTTTGATCGGCTTCAGTTTCATATTAATCTAATTAGTTCATCATCTTATCATAAAATTACTGCAGGGAACTACATACGTCTATGATGCCTTTTTTAAACCTGTGATATTAAGGCATGAACCTGAGATTGATAAAAGTTTGTTGGAGTTGAGGACCAGAGCAGGAGATATGTTCTTTTTATACTGGCAGAAAGCTGCTAGCTATGGCCAGACGAGGGTTTTCGACATTTTGCAGTACATTGCTTCGCAGTCAAATCCACCTCCCCCCACTCAGGTTGTCGTTAAGATGTGTTTCAGAGTTTATATGCAAGCTCAATTATTTTCAGCATTTCAAACATGCTCTTTACTAAATGATAGTCTTAGCTGTTTGAAATTTGAAGATCGTATTAATTTTAGAATTTGCATGCTTTTGAATCCATACAGCTGTGTT